TGCATGAGCGCTGGCGGCAGGGTTCCATACCCCCCTAGTGGACCTGCCAGCATTATGAGTGTCCCTCTTTTTGCGCTTCTTGTTGGCGTGGCTGCGAAAATCTGAGTGGGCAGCAGCACTGCTGCCCCATGACTGCTGACCCGCTCTCAAGAAATCGACGCTGCGTGGATTGCGAGGTGAGTGCGAATGGGACGACCCTACCGAATCCTCTACCAGATCATCGTAGCGTAGTAATCTGCGACCTGACGACATGGTCTCTTACTAATGTACACCGTGCTGTGCCCGCTCGATGCCGAGGTCCTCGACTTTTAGTGCGAAGGCTGCAGTGTGGGAAATGTGACCAAGAGACAGACGATGGGGTGGTGGGCAAAGGGCAAGCGTGGATTTGACTCGCTCGAATAGGAGTCGCTTGTGGGATGAAACGTAATCAAGAATGACAGTCAGAGTCGAGAGTGATTTGTTTGTCTCGTCCCCTCCACTCACGACTTTTACTCAACAGACTTTGAGATGTAAAAGACTCAAAACTCTGACTGAATCTCACTCAAGACTCTTGACTCTTGACTCTTGACTTTTGACTTTGATTGCAGACTTGTTCGTTCTTGATTCACATCAGAGTCAGGACCTTCAATTAGAGTGAAGAGTCTTGTGTCATTTGATTCAAGATTTCAAATTCACTTGTCAATACGCACTCAATAATTCATAATCTCGAATTCACTCTAACTGAATGTTGAATGTTGAATGTTGAATGTTGAATGTTGAATGTTGAATGTTGAATGTTGAATGTTGAATAACTCAAGACTTAAAACTTCACTTTTGACTTTTAACCACCCTACATACTGTAGGTCAGAAGTTGACTTCTGCAGCATGCGCATGAGCTCGACACTTGACTCGGCAGCATCCTGATTGTGATTCGATTGTGATTCAAAGTCCGCTTTGCTTTGCTTTGCTGTGCTTTGCTTGGCATCCTCTGCTTTGCGTGTTGCATCACTCGCACTCACAAAGCTGCCACGCCTCTTGACCAATCACTCACCGCTCTTCAAGACTCGCCTTGATCCCTCTTGATCTCCAAGCCTGAGCCATCGAGCGTCCTATCGGCGCATCCCCAACCTGCTCACTCTCACTTCCACGCCCCACTCATCTCGGCCCTGCGCACACACACTCTTCTCGCTCTCTGCAACGCGCGCAAAAAGGCACTTGATCAATCCAGGCAGCATCTCATCGCACAACCGCAGTCGTCTCTGCAACGATCCACCTGTCTCCGCACCCGCACGCGCACGCGCAAACAACACCCACGCACCACGCTCTGACTTGGCGTTGCAATCACACTCAAAAGATGGCAGGAGGCAAGAAAAAGGTTAATAGGCACACGCCTTCCAGAAACGATTCCACTCGCGCCGACATCGATGTGAGTTGAAATGCAGGTGCTCCTGCAGCGATGCAGAGGCCATCAGCTTCGAGGATCTTTGCGTCTGGCTTGGCCAAATCGAGGCAATGCGCGACATCAGCGACACAGCAGTCGTGTCTGCGATGCCCAGCCTGCAACGCCTTCAGATGTCGGTGCAGCGACAGTGCGACGCTAGGCGTCAGTCTCAGCCGGATGGCGTGATGATGAGCAACACGACGAAGCCTCTCGGCTCTCTGACAATTCCTTGCCCCCCCTGGACGCACACTCTGCCTTACGCAGGCAGCTCAGCGAGCCGGAGCGGTGGGAGAGGATGACGAGGGCTTCGACATAGCTGCAGACTTGCTGGCCACTCTCGATGCGAGG